CTGCCACTCCGGCTGCTGCGGGACAAGCACCGACCCGCACAGAGGGATATTTGCTAGTCCATTGACTAACAGGAGAGAGAGTTACCTTAGGGATGACACTAACTGGCTAAGCAGCAAATAAGGAAAGCTAGCCCAGCTTTCACTCCAGTAAAGCCCAAATTATTTTAGAGGTTTAATATTCCCTCAGAGGTCAGATGGGGTTCACTGCTTATTTCACAAATGACCTAAACTGATTTGACACACAGTTAACCCCGGTTCTGGGGAACAAATCCACGCATTTAACCTGAGAACAGGGAATTCTGGTCAAAGGCATTTATCACAATGCATCGACTTCTCCTGGATAAATCACTGCAGGACTAAGGTCTTAAGCGAAAATATTTATAAGTGTTAAGTGACTATTAATCAAGAGAGTGCACACAGAGAGCGAGACGCCGCGACCCGCAGGTCCCTCTTCCAGAGTCTGAAACACACATTTGTGCTACAGGCCTGTGCTCCTCTGCCTTAAATCAAGGCAGATTCTTCAACTGCGCCTAAGTATAAAGGCTTCTCATCAGAAATGAATTACTGGTTTGCAGCAGAAGCTCCTCATTTAATACTCTTGAGGGAGGAAAGTGAGACGAGACAATGTAGGATCTCTGTAACAAAATTAAAAAAAAAGCCAATAAAACTGAAAGCGTTGGACAGTTTCCAAGACATAACCTCACCTTCCATCCCAGGATGGAGAAGTTGGGATGAGCAACTGGAGCCGTTGCCTTTGCTAATTACCTGAAGTCTCTCTGAAGCTTCTATACTCTTAAACAAACTGGTTTTCTCTCTGTTTTTTGGCAGATGGGTGAAAAAATCTGCTTTGGAACACTCAGTTTTTACAGCTGCGCCAGCGCAAATGAAAGCTACTCTGTGAGCTTCAGAAACCTGTTTCGTCCCATCAGTGATTACACATTCCTGGACAAGGAAAGGTTACCTGTCATCACCTCAGTCACTTTATGAGGTCTGTCTTGAGCGGATGATGCCACTTGGGTTTTTAAACCTCTTTTGACACCACTTCTGACCTCAACACAGCAGGCACTGAACTTGGTCTATCGCTTCCATGACTCCATCAACGAGACAGGACGCGGTAGCTGCCCTGCTGCTTTGGCTTCCGTGCTGCGCCCTGGGCAGAGCTGGGCAGCTGTTTGTTATTCCACAGAGCCAAGCTCTAACCTCGGAAATTAGCAAGGCAGCAACAAACAGTCACCCCGCTCACGTCTAGTGGATGTTCTGGCAGTAACAGCATGAATTCCCCTTCTGAGGCTGCTACACGTTTGCACGCAGGTTAACAGGACAAAGAGGTCACTCCAAACGCTGCAGTTCCTCACCTGCCACTTCTACACACAGGAATATACACAGGCCCCACATGCAGGAAAGCTCAAATGTTTGCTTGGATTCCACTGACTGCACTGGGAGTTAAACTACCAACAGTGGTGCTGTGCTGAAGGGACCCGCTTTTCTAAACATGGGCCATTATTTTTGTTCTAGGAGCAACTCAGCACCTGAGTAGGAGACGCTCTTGTTGCCATGTGGACTCTGCTGCTCCTCTTCACCTTTGCTTCCAGGGAAACCCACCTCCTGCACTATGTGAGCAGCCTAGACACAAAGCAAGATTCAATCCTCACTAAGGAACAATGAAAATACCAGCTAATTACTCATAAATTTTGCTGGTTCATACTATGCAATACTGTATTTGGACCTCTCCTTCAATAGATTTTTGAAAATCAGTTTCTCGCACAGCAGATTTAATATAGAGATGGATTATACACTACAGGCTCTCAGGCACGCTAAAAAATGATCTCTCTGGCAAAGCACTGAGAGCCTTTATTTATCTTTATTTGTCTTAAGGAGGAGATATTTTCTAGTAGAAGAAAACCTTTTTATCCTAACTTTTTTAATACTGACAGGTCCATATGGTTTAATTTGTCTTCCATCTCTAGCTGTGTTTCATTATCCACACAATTTCGGAATGGCTTCAATTCCAAGATAGTATCACACTACCCTAGGGTTTTTTTGTTTGTTTGTTTTAACATTTTGAATTAGTCCTAAATTACACTATTATAAAACACACATGATTATAATGGCCATTTCCAATGTTCTTCACTTGGCAAACACTCAGAATTATCTTGAGGCTGCTGTTAACACCCCTTGCTTTAAGATCCCTTGTATCTTATTCAGGTCTATACTTAAATTTATCTTTATCAACATGCAAAGCAGGCTAGTTAACGGATAATTCTGACAGTCTGCTGAAACAAGCTTCTACCTAGAAGCTCTATTTGGAATTCAAAATTAGTCTCATTGAACCCATTCTTACCTTGTCACCAGCACACACCTGTAATGAGTAACTAGCAACGAGGTGTGTAGAACCTGAATCACTTCCCTCGCTTCGAAGGGAAACCTTGACCCTGTCCTGCTTGTGAGGGCTGCGGGAATTGCCACAGTAGTGACAATTCTACAACATAACCATGCCAGAGCCTATCTGTCCATTCACATCTTCCTTCCCTTCTTCCTGCCTCCTGCATTTCTTGCACAGGAAAAGAATGCCTTGGCTTTTCTCCTCGGAAGATTTTATTTATATCAGCTGGCTAAGCTGACATGATGTGATGCCAACGAGAATTACACAGGATAACAGGAACGAGAACAGTTCAGTAGAGAAAACAACTGATTATCCCAGCTCAAGTGTATGTTGCTGTTTGATTACCAACACTGTTCGTGACAGCCTCTCCTACAGCACAAGGAGACTAAAATTAACTTTTCCATTATTCCACATGGCTCCTGGATGTAGGACGACAGGGCACTTGTGTGCGTTAGGAGTGAAATCATCTTATCTTGCCCAAAGCTGCATCTGTTAAGAGAAAGTCCACTGGCCTGTACTTCCTAACTATCTTGAGAGAAGATTATGACTTTGGCTCCTAATTGGTTTTTATTAAAATTTAAAGTCTTCTGTTAAAAGCAGTGTATTATATATAATACATATTACATATATAAAAAGATGTTCACTAGTGACTGAATATTTAGATGCATGAATATTCCTATGACAACACATAATAGTGCAGGACAAAGAACAAGGATAAATTTATTCTCTCAAGCAGACGTACAGCTCAAAATCCACCGACCCACAGCACCCAGCGTGCGGCGCAGGCCCGTCTCACAGGCTCTCCTTTCTCTCAAGACACACGAGAAGGGTCTTACGAAGTAACTGAGCTGGGGAAAAGCAGCAGGTGGCAAATGGGCACCTACAGAAAGCTCTCTCCGTACCTTCCTTCTCAGAAAACCCAACCTGAACGTTTCAGGTGTGTGCCACCAACACAAAGCCTGGCAATGGCACAAGGCTTGACCCGAGTGTCGGAGGCCTCCGCTATGCCTGTGGAATAGAAGCATTAGGAGTGCGCGAAGGCAGCGGAGACACGAGGGGAAGCGCAGATCCCACCGGAGCGGGCGGTGAGGGGCCCCCAACGGAACGGGGGTGTCGGGGCTCCGTGACTGGGCCTGTTCAGCCTGGAGAAGAGAAGGCTGAGAGGGGACCTGATCAGTGTCTACAAGTACCTCAAGGGAGGGAGTGAGGAGGATGGTGCTGGCCTCTTTTCAGTGGTGGCCACCGACAGAACTAGAGGAAACGGCCGGAAATTGAAGCATCAAAAGTTCCACAGGAACCTAAGGAAAAGTTTCTTAGCAGTGAGGGTGCCAGAGCACTGGAACAGGCTGCCCAGAGAGGTGGTGGAGTCTCCTTCTCTGGAGATCTTCCAAACCCGCTTGGACGCAGTCCTGTGCCACGTGCTCCAGGTGACCCTGCGTGTGCAGGGGTTGGACTAGATGATCCCTAGAGGTCCCTTCCAACCTTGAGCATTCTGTGACTCTGTGATTCCTGGGCACTGCTGAAGGGGGGCTCGCTGGCGCGCAGACCCCAGACGACTGCAGCGGCAGCAGCTGCTCCAGGAAACCAACCTGCTTTCTGCTCCCTCATTCTGAAGCCATATAATTGCAACGTCAGCAGCGATGAAGAGAGTTTCATGGCACTTCAGTGGAAGTGATCTGTCTCGTGGTGAGGACAACTGGAAAACCTCCTCAGAAGAGGCAAGCTCACAACGTTAAAACAACCTCCTCCAAAGAAACAAACAAACAAAAAGATCCACAAAAGCAAAACCCCACCTAAATCCCCTACCCTCGGGCTGCAGAGCATTTAAAAGCCTTGCCAAAAGAGTAGCAGATGGAGTTGTATGGACTGGCCACGCATTTCAAGCAGACAGCTGACAGCAAAAAATAAATGATGTTTGGTTAAAGGCATTTTAGAGCTGCATTGTGATCTGAATCATTTTCATCTTTTGAAAGCAGCCTTACAGTGCCTGAAGACACTGTTATCACTCATGTCTGTGTTCTGAAAATGCGAAAGGGCAGTCTGCTCTGAACTGTTAATACTGGGAAATGGGACAAGACAGCAAGAGGGAGGAGGCAAAGCAAGCGCAAGGTGCTTCTGAGCCTGCTGCCAGGAGGCCCATCTATAGGAGGTCATATTTTTATACGGAGTTGGAACGGAGTTGAGCAGACTGCTTCGAGCCTGGAGAAGGGTCTGCGTTCAGGACAGGGAACAGTGCAGAAGCAGAAGGGATGCAGGAAGCCAGGCTGGACAGCGAATACATTTTTCTGCTGCATCAATAGTTTCACAGTGTTCCTGTGTGCCCAACAAGACACATGCCTCCCTCTCGGCCTCTCTAACGTGGTTTTCTTTCTGCTGCCCTCGCCCATCATTGCTCCTCAGCTGTGCCTGGCACTTGGGCATCTCCAGGAGCACGCCCTCCCTAGGGCATTGCCTTCACTGCCTCAGCAGCATCAAACTCGCTGCTGCTGTCAAGGGTGCTCCACTGAAGGGCACCTAGAGAAAAGGCACCGATTAAAAAGGCAACGAAACAAAAATCAGTGAGCTCAGACTCAGGGCAATAGCAGAATGGGAAAGATAAAAGCGTTCCGTGCTTTAAAATTGCAGCTGGCAGAGATCCCAGATTTGCCTGCAGGAAAACCTGTGTGCTAAGGCTATCCCAGTTGTTAATAGCGGCAGTAAGTTCCATGTTTGGAGGAAGGAGGAGGGAAGAACTGGGGAGTCAGACATGCCAGAGAAGTGCCCCAGTGGCCAGAAGGGGAAAATTCAGTAACGCAACACAGCTCATTATTACCACTTGCCAGGGATGTTCATCAGGGGAAACCTCTGACCTTCACCCACTTTTGTTTCTTTGGCTGTTTACACCTCTTTAAAACCCCTCACCAACCCTTTGCCGGCTTCCCAGGCCGCACACTGAAGGGCACCTTTAGGTGCAAAGTTTTCTTTGCATAACAAACTCCACAGGCTTCCCCCAATGCAAAATGCAGGAGCCAGCCCACACCCAGCCCCAGGCGAAAGCAGCACCACCTGAAGTGTCTCATAGCAAGTGGAATTGCTAGGAGAAAGAAAACAAAAGGAAAGGAGGTCTAAATTGCAAAATAATGCAATTTCTAACAGATATCCATCTGTGTTATATCACAGAAGTCTAATCTTTGCTTGAATATCTAAATGGAATTTATGCCTCATTTCAACGAGAGTCTTTAGGTTTGTATCAAAACCTGGCAATGCCAATGAATACTGCTTAATCTTATCTCCTCGTACATGAATCAAGATCAACATATGAAATAATTATATATAATAACTCTTATCAACAAATATCTCATTATATCCATGACAAAAATCAGCAGAACATAACAAACAAGAATACAACGCCAAACAGTATATATTTTCTCTATATTTTCATATCACCAAAACCTTCTGTATATTTGCCAACATTAAAGTTGGTGCTTTTATAAGAACTGCTGCTTTTATTACTGTTGCTACTACTTGGGAACTCCAGTGCCACAAGATCCCATTTTGCTTACCTGAATCAATATGCAATGACAAAACTTCATCTTAGTACAAGTTACTGAACTAAACCAGTCAGGCAAACCACTCGCAGATGGTCACAAATAAATTAATTTGTTCTTTGTATTTCGCCTTGTGTTTCCAGCTTTAAAACCTATCACGTATCATCCTAATTCATTTAGGAATATACCTGCCAAGATTTTTAATCATGAAAAAAATCTCTCCTGGAGACATAAGCCCCCATCCCACACACAGTCCTCATGTCCTCGAAAAAACAAACTGTTAAAGAAGGTAACTGTGCTAACAGACAAGGGATAGAAAAATGACAAGTATAAATGTTGCCCAAATGCCACTATAATAAACTAATCACGCTGCCCTGTGCTACCTTTCCGCTACCTCCAAGAGTTCCAGAAGTTTGCAAACATTTTCTAGAAGTGTTTAAAAATAGAGATTTTTTTTTCTAGTTCCAGCATCTATTCTCTTGTTTCCTCCAAGAACAAGACTTTGTTCACAAAATTATTTTCCTCTGCTTGCATTTATTTTATATGCACGTACATATATTTGACTGTGCAACATTCCCATACCTTTTGTTCCACCTTGAGGAACTGAGCGAGTTCCTCAACCGTGAGATGATCCTTCTTGTCACTGTAGCTCAAGAGCAGTAAGTAGAGATCTCGCCGTAAGGACATCATCTTGTAAAATACCGAAAACTCTTCAAAATTGAGGGTTCCTTGATTCTCATCTGTGTCAGCTTCCTAAGAGGTAAGGACACTGAAGTAAGTTGTTAGGTCTCTATGAAATCAAGAAGTGAAGCACAACAGGGCTTATGCACAAGAAAATGAATTTCAGAACTTCTAGCCCACAAGACACTGTTCAGTGTCAGAAGTCCTAGCGGGCACTGCAAACAACTGCAAATCACTGCACAAGTATAATGACATGTATTGGATTTTTCGGGTGAAAGGAATTATTGCACTAAAGACAAGATCCCCATGAAGATCTCAACTCCATCTTCACAAGGGAAATAAATTCAAAGGGGCTCTTCCTGGGCATTACTATAATCTCTCTCACTCTTGCACATCTTACAGTTATCCTGGATTACAATATAGCAAAGAACAAAAATAGTCTTCAATTTATGTTAGGACAAGATGTAACCCTCTCCCAACCCCTGACAGCACTTTGTAGGGCAGGCAGGTCTGCAGCAGCAGTTGCAAAATATACGTGACTGCAGGCTGTGATTACCATCAGAGACAGGAAGGGAAGAAAACAGTGCTTAAGGTGTGTTAACCCAGGGAATATCTGCCCAAATGACTGCTTTGGGTTTGTGAAACAAAGACTGTCTTCTGGAGAACTGCTGTCTCTACATAACCAAACTTCTGGAAAACTATGACTCCTGCTGAGCCTGATATTTAAGTAAATGACGGAAAAATGCAGTACTAGAGATACGCCATTTGCTTCCATGAATAACATCTTTCATTCACAGCCGTATAAAATTGTTTTTCTCTGTAGTTAAAAGCAAAATAAACCCATGGGAACCACCATTCCCAAGTCATATCCATGAGAAATGGTGCATCCTTCTATTCCTATCAGGACACCTTGTGGGCAGAGCTTTGAACAGCGGTTTGGCTATGAAGCCGTTAGCCTCCCTCTTCGCTCACTCACTAAATAAAACTCCCTCTGCAGTGGTACTCAGCTTTCACTCACCGTTCACTTCTTTCTGCTTCCCATTTGGGCCCAATCCCACTATTCCAGAGTAGAGGAGCTCATCAAATAGGAAACAAAGAATGGGTCTGTCCCGCTTCCCTTCCCAAGGGACGGGTTTTACCTCCCATTCACATACGTTACAGCCCTTAACTCCAATCACGACCAGGGGCAGGAGCTGCTCTTTGCACCGAGGTGTGCACAGACATCTCTAACAGCCCCACAGCCATCTGCAGAGGTGACACCGGCCCGGGGCCGTTCCAGGAGCCCGGCCGTCGCACGCGGCTCCTCCGGGCGCGGGGGCGTCCAGCACGTCACGGAAACGGTGACGCCGCACGAGCAGACCGAGCGTGCACCAAGCATCCAGCACAGCTTATTTGTACCAACCAAAACAGAAGCTGCTGCTGGTTACAGAGACGCCGATGCCTGCTGTCCTTCTCTCCTTCATCCCTACGTATTTCTTTAAAAGGGAAAGAACCGGAAGGCTTTTTTGTTTGTTTTCTTAGTGTGTCAGTGCACAGCTTCACAACTGCCTGCTTCTCCTGCAGCCGTCAACAGTATCAGCAACACCGGAGCATCTGGGAGCTGCATTTCGTTATACCTTGTTAGTGCTGCTGTCATCTGAGCTATAAGCTCACATCACTGCAAGTAAGCTGAGAGGAAAGCAATTCCCAGCTATCTGGTATCAAACAGGACTTCAACTCATCATTTTAAATCTACCATACACCACGGAAGTTATAATGCACCTCTGCAACACAGCCCCACAAGCCACCTCACTTCTTGGATCCCCAGGGAGCAGTCTGCACTGCACCGGGGATACTGCACACACCGAGTTTGTGCCAGACAGGCCAACAACTCCGACTATACAAGATTCCCACCTCTGCTCCCCGCCTACCATTCCGCCCTGCCCCTTTTTATTTTTAAAAACCATGGACAATAAAAACACACAGATTTCAGCTAGCACTGGTTTTGAAGAGTGAAGAGAATGCTTCTGTGTGCACCCTTAGCTTAGCATTTAGATAGAAGAGGAAGTTAAAAAGCCAATTCTTTTTATCAAATATATTAAATATTTTCCCATAAAATAAATAAAAGAAATATTTCATAAACAGCAACTTCATTGTACATTACTACGCCACAGCACAGGATGATACACAAAAATGAAAACAATGATGTATCTGAAAAAGCAATACTAATATTGACCAGAAAAAGCACTTGTGGGGTGTTGGAAAGGACAGGGTTTGAAGCCCCAGTCGCACACCCTCTTCCTGGCACCGACCTGAAACATCTGGCGGACCTTCCGCCGGGGCAGGTTCACGTTCAGCTTGTGCATCAGCTGGTGGATCTCCTCGATGTTGAGCAGGCCGTCCCCGTTCTTGTCGGCCTCCTCGAAGGTCTGTTTCACCCAGCTGCGAGGAGGGTAAGGAGAGTAGAGCAGAGCGAGGGGCTCCTGCGGGGCGGCAGAGCGAGGGGCGCACGCTGCGAGCGGAGCTCCCGCGGGGGCACGCACGTTACCGCTAACCCTGTGGTTTCTGCAAGAGTTTTCATTAAAAAACACTCTTGTCTTTCTGCAGTTCCTCCTTCAGGATTATCCTACAATCCTTTCACTCGTATCCAAGCCTCCAATTTCTCAACAACTTTGCTTCTGATCACCACATTCTCCCTTCTCTCTCACCTTTTATACTAACCTTCCGCAGGGCAGCAACAAGGGCACAAAAATCATAAGTTGTACACAGAAAATATGTGTACACTGTTTCCTCCCATACAAGAGTGAACAAACATCAAATAAAACTAGCAATTGTTAAGTTAAAATATTTTTTAAATAATTTTAAAAATAATTTAAAAACAAATTTAAATTTAATAATTAAAAAAAAATCAACAAAAAGGAGGTGATTCTTCACCTGGCATCCCATTCATGCTAACAACAACCTACCACAGGACATGCTGCAAGTGCACATGGGGTGACACTGCAAGTGTATATGGGGTCAAGGTGACACTGAACAAATGCCCGGGGAAGAACCACTACACGTTTCAATGAGACATCTGTCTTTAAAACTGGTGCCAATTTCTGACAATTATTTACACTCGGGTTCGCAGCACTATCCCCCTGGTTCTCCTTCCTGATTTCAGTGTGCATTCCCAGGGTTTTTAAAATAAGCTAATTTTTTAAATACTCCTGGGCTTGCTCTGATACTGGATCCTGCATCTCTCCTCCACCCCATCTCCTAACCCTTATCCTCTTTGTGCACGCATTCCCTCTGGGACATTTGCTGTGCCACAGCTGAGGACATTTGTTTGCAGCCTTTCTGCTGCCACATTCCGTAACACGGACGGGACTCGACCTGACACTTCACCAATAGGGAACACGCATCAGACGCGCAACTCCGAAGAACCATGGACAAACACAGAAAGTAGCACATTTTCACAGAGAATGCAACATATCCCTCAAATGAATACGTGCCAGTCTTGTGCCAGAAGTAAATACCGAAAACAGAAATGAAAAATACCCAACGTATGCATGTTCTCCAGGAGAAGCAACTGTGAGCAGCCTCCCTGCGGCAGGAGATGGGTTACAGTTATAATCAAGATAATCTCTCCTTGTTTAGCAGGGAGAGAGTTTCAAGACAGCAGCACTGTTTGGAAAGAAAGCACATGGAGACGACATTCAGGAGCTCTGATAGTCACACGAGGTTCACTTTGGTATCTGGACTACAACAAAGAGTCTGAGAGACTTGTGCTCCTTCTGAAGACTGAAGTCTTCCAGAGGTTGTCAACAGTGTGGCAACCAGCCAGCTTTCCTTTTAGGAAAGGCACGGGAAGGGCCAGCTGCCCAGGAATGACACTGCTGCTGCGCGGTGGGCCTGCTCGAACCACCTGCAGAAGGGAGCACGCGGTTAGCACGTCACGAGGAGCATTTGTTTAGGTGCCTGGAAATTCAGGATTTGACCCTTCAACAGAAACCTCCGTAACAAAACGGAAGACCCTGCCCACACACTTCAGTGAGGCTTAACCCAGTCCCTAAAACAGCTGATGTTTCATTGCACAGCTAAGTGCCCACACGAAACCCGTCAGACAACACCGTTGCAATCACCAGCAAAATTTTCGGTCGCTGAACAGGGGTTGAGAGGACACTCTATACAAAAGTCACTAAAAAACAAACCAGGAAACTGCAATGGGAGCTGGAGCTCAGGCGTGTAAAGGATACTGATCATGAGTGCGCTGCCGCTTAGCCAGGGAGTCCTCATCGCTTATCCCAGCCATCAGGTACTTCAGCCCCGTGATCCAGGTGCGAGCCTCCTCCGGGTTGGACGTGATCAGATCCAGGGACTCCATGTGGCTGCCGTGATAAATGGTAAAGCAACAGCTCGGGTCGAAGCTCCCCTCCGCATGGCGGTGGAAGATCTCAGACTGGCGGCCCTCACCAACCTTGTAGATGGAATCGATGACGACTGCGGGGAAAAGGGAAATCAAGGTCTGACACGCGCCCCGCTTCCCCCTGCTTCTGAGCAATTCACAGTGCTCTGTCAGAGAGCAGTATTTTTAATATTAGAACTGCATGGCAGATTAAGTTTGGCCATGCTGTGTGTGCAGGGAACCTGCCCTGCGAGGCAGCAGCGCTGCAGGGACAAGAAGCTGGAGCAAAGCCCTGGTGCTCCCTGCTGAGGCAGCAGACTGCCTTTGCTTTACAAAACACCGATTTGAATGAAAGTATTATATTATTTCTAATTAGATATAACATCATACGGCAGCTTAAGCACACAATAATATTTATAAAAATTTATTGTATTTGCTAAGTTTAAGCATTTGTCAAAACTTTTTCTGGCTCCAGGTTTATTTAGAAGTCCCAGAGTGCACATTTAGAGACCAGCTCAGTTTGTTAGCAAGTCACCGTTGAGCTTGTTCATAATTCACCTGATCCTCTGGCAAAATGTTGACACCAGACTGAACTGCATTTCCTGTGCTTTTCACAATGCCAAACTTGTACGGCGTGGTTAAACTCTACTTGCATATATGAAAAGCTTGAAGTATTTATTATACCACATTTTAAATAAGCATTGAAAAAGATTTAATCTATGCAAAAAAAAAGTCTGATTTTCCTTCTATTTCACATCCTAATACTGAAGTGCCCAAGGAATTCAAGGAAATATCAAAATTTTACTTTTTGCCTTTTCGCTTTTTCTGGACGGTCTCCATCGGATGCAGGTCCTGTGCTCATCCAGGTAAAAGAGACGGACCAGCCCTTTGGTTCCGCTCTTCAGCTTCACCATCTGAGTCCCAGACTGCATCACACTCATGCATCTTTCAACTGCAAAGCAGAAATGAACAAATTCCACCAATTCTGCTAATAATAATAATAAAAAATACCATTTTTAAATACCTACCTTCCATATAAAAATTCTGACCTGTGCCTTAAATATGAACAAATTCCACCAATTCTGCTAATTTAAAAAAAAAATCATTTTTTAAACACCTACCTTCCATATAAAAAATTCTGACCTGTGCCTTAAACGATAGAACATTACTGTGCAAGAGATTTTGCAAGTAATTGGTTTTCAAATATTTGGTAAAATCAAATTTTTAAAAAAAGAAAAAGAATTGAAATTATTTCAGAAATAAGTATATACTTTGACTGTATTTGGATAACATTTGGCTCTATATGACATTCCTATTTATTGCAAGTATAATGTTCAACTTCATTAAGTACTTGGTAGCTTAATTTTCATCACCATAAATCCTAAAACCAAGTAGAACTTGTCAAATTCAAGCAGTGCCAAAGATTTCCCCTCTCTTTAACACTTCTAAAGTTCCATAGATACAAGATGCACATATACAAAAGCTACGATTTAAAAGGACACTTCAGTCTAGTATTTTATGACAGTTTCTTCACAACAGATCACCCCGTTCTTCTGAAGGAGTCACACAGGAGAAAGGCTGCATTGCTCTACAAGGAGCTTTTCTCCAAAGGCAGCCTCTGGCACAGAGGAACGGTTTGTGTTGTGGTTACGAGTTTGCTACTCTCTAACCCAAAATAAAAGAGTAAGCAAACATTTTATAGAGGAAAATGCAAACACCCAAGTACACTAAAATTAAATTTCTCCTACATTGTTTTATTCAGTCAAATACTTTGGATTTAGCTACAGAAGTCTAGAATGCTACTTACCCGTTAGCTGATGTACCAAAAATTCTGCTGAGACCTGGTTTGGATCTCACCTCAGTTTCTACCTGAGTGGAGCAACCACTCCATTTAGGAGACACGAATTGGGTCCCAGATCCGCTCTACTTTCCCACCATACTTTCCATGTTTTCTCTGGAGAACATTCACATCTCTGACACTACTAGTGCAGAGCACACGAATTACAGCGGCCCAAAACCAGAGTGCATCGGGCACTGCAGGAACTACACTTGTTTGCCTGGGAGACTTGCTTTGCCACCAGACCAATCTGTGCCATGTTACGACTGCTGGAAACAACAAAGACTACCCTGGACAAGTCATTTTACAAATGCCACAGGAGGTCACACCTGGCATCAGGGAACGTTTTAGACATTGCTGCTGTATGACATTGTCTGAAAGCATCTTGAGCAAATCACTAATATTGTTCTCGTTCTATTGCAAGACAAGAAATTCCAGGGACACCCTGTTTACTGCTTCACCACAAACAGATATTAACACGAAGGAGTATTTTCCAAAATGCTCTGACATGTCAGGAAAAAATCCTTCAAACAGTCAAGACCTGACCCAGTCCCATAGGTGTCTTTTCGCTGTCTGCACAGTGGGAGTTGCTGCTCAATTGGGTTACAGAGATGAACTGCACAGAGCAGCCCATGGTCGTGATGCCTCTGCATCTGCTCTGCTCCAACATTAGAGCAACGATGGCAACACAGCGTTCAGGAGGGCACAGCACTGTCCAATTCAGCCAATTCATTTTTAATAGCTTTACATAAAGTAGGACAGAGAATCTGGCAAGAGTAGAATTCATTCAGGATTCTCATCCAGTGGCATGTGAATTAATAGCCATCTTGCCAACTGTCTTCTGAGAAGGTAAAACATCCACTGCTGATTTTTGCTTTAGTAAAAGAAAAGGGTCCACTAAAACAACAGAGAGGCTTGCTGGGTTTTGATTTAGAATTCAAGGTTTCCTAAGCATTTCTACAGGACATTTGCAATTAACATGGACACATTTACCTTCCAGACAAACTTCAGAATTACATGTAATAGATTTGAACACCTTTTACACAAATAAAACAAGAGCAGAAGAAATTTAATTTCTGCCAGGTAGCTCAGCTTTCTCCATTTATCAAATGTCACCTGCAACCAGTCTAGTGCCTAAATAAGCACTATCTTTTCTGCACTTTTTCCAGTTCTAAGAAAATACCATCAGAATGCAACCATTTAAATAACAGCCTGTGTAACAAAGTTCACTGCATCATCCCTGTGCACTGCTAATCACAGAGAAGGAATCCCTTCCTCCTCTGGAAGGCCCCTGCCTTTCACTACTAGGGACCATTTATTAAATACTTGATCCTTTCCACTATCTATGAAACACAAGGACACAAACAAACAACCTTTTTCTAATCGATTTCTAATATGCCATTTCAGTGTCTAGCAGGACACCCACAAGAGACACACTCCACACATTCCCATCTGAATATGGCAGAGCTGCTGAGCAGAGGCAATTCAGAATAAGGCTCCAGAAGAGCATGCAATTCACAAATGTTTTCTCTTAGAGAGATTAACCTGAATATCACGACTGGTTCTAGCAAAACATTTACTGCTCTAGATAAACTAGCAATACTGAGAAAATGGAGCAGCTCTTCAGTGCAGATGTACATTTGCATTTGAGAAAGCAATGTACTATTTCCATTACTGTATAATCTTCCACTGCAAGGAGTAACTGTACAATTTTTCCAGTGTCTGAAGATTGGCTCTAGTTTATAAATCAGTGTAGCTTATGACACACTGAGGGAGCAAGAAGAGAGCAAATTAAGAGTTATTTGATGTGCAAATTCAAAGAAAATGTTCACATTGTAAATTTAAAGATTTAATCTCAAAATAGAAAAATTGGAAATTACATTAAAAAAATCTGTTTGAGTTACACAAACTTATTTTCACAGCACAAAAACATCTTAACCAACATACTATAGTTTACAGTATCTTTACGTTACCAAAATGTGGGTGCGTTCCTTTTTTCCTCTCCCAAAATAACCATTAAAAGCAAAACAGATCTGAATGGAGAGCGCATTTTCTCATTCCCAGTTCAAGCTCTGGCAATCATCCTCAGTGGTGCACGCAGCTGCTTTGTGGGGGAAGCTGCTGCTTTCTCAGGTGTTCTCCCGGATACAAACCCCTTGGTGCCAGCCGGACCTTCTCCGGAGCGGCCACGCTGCCCAGCACGCGGTGCGTCTCCGATGCCAGCAGGAAGGCCATCCGCGCCCAGGCACAGCCCAGACGTTCCCTGGAACCTTGCACATTCGGCAGATGCCCTTTGCTCCACGCGACAAGCGCCGCTTCCCGCTGCTGAATAAATCCAGCTGCCGCTGGGAAGCGCGCGGGAACGCCGGCCGTATGCACGGAAATGCTCTAATCCGCCGCCAAGCGCCACCCGCCCCGCGTCCCCACGTGCAAGTGGCTCTGGCGGCCAGGGAAGAGCTGAGCCCTCGGCCCTCTGGGTCTCCTGCAAGAACTTACTGCTTCGTTTACAGGTTCAACAGCTACTTCCACGGTTTTCGGTAGCCTGTGATTCCCTTGGCTTAGTTCAAGAGTGCCAGTCGTGACGCGCGCCTCTGCCGCTCTTGTGTTTGACTACAAAAGCTTTAGGACACGCAGAATATTTACGAGATACTAGAGGAAAAATATTAATGGAATGTGAACTCCTCCCCAGGAATCTGCATCTTCAGAGAAACGAGCACGTCCCCTCACACGCGGGACATAGCAGCAAGAAAGGAGCCCCCTCGCCCTCGCGCAGGGGACGTTCGCCTGTGTCGCGTGCCGCGGTACCCGGGTACCCACCACGGCTAACACTGCAACCCCAGAACAAACCACGGCAGCGGCTGCTCTGGGACCTTCCCCTGCTGCTCTTTCTTCTTTCAGTTATTCAAAATAATAGCTATTACTTAACCATTAGTGGTGAAAGAGCCAGCAGAGTTGGCCAAGAGCTGCCAAGAGGCAGCAGTAAAATTTTGATGACATGAAAGGGGTTTTATTCTATTGAAGGTGGTTAGAAGGATGAAATCTCACTTTTAAAATATTTTTCCCCATTGCCTTCAAGAAAATCACTACTTGCACGGAGTCCTCTCTATGTAAACAGAGGTTACGTTATCTACCAGTATACCCTGTACATCTCTACTTGTGCATATAGGTGTGTATGTATGCTGTCTATACATATACGCCTATACCCAGTGGTATACCTACCAAAACGTTACCTATTTCTAGTGAAGAAAGTCAAGGGCCTATACACGCCACGCTGTACATGGGACCCGGGTTATTATACTATTATATTCTAAGTAATTAATATTTTAAAATGCAACTAAAAAATCCGTTCCAGTGTCATGCATTCATGGACTTAATATTAGAACTATCTGACAGAACAAAAGATAAGATATAAAGAGCATTACCAAACAATGAGAAGTATAATTATGCAAGAGGATATAAACTATATTTCTAAATTACATACAGCAAGCTGAATTAAGCTAACACTAAGCTTTAGGAGATAACAGAAACCCATATAACACAGAAGTTAAGGCAGTTAACATCAGCTCTTCTCCCCGCATAGTATTTTTGGGTTACCTCACTGCATGGGTGAATTGAGTATTTTGGTTGTATATTTTTCCACATATATTTACATGTTAAATACAGCAAATTTATTTCTCTCTAGCCTCTTATAAACTGAGAAAGAATCAGTTATACTTAGTAATAATTAAATCATCCAAAAGGGTTTTTGATTGGGAACCCCTTCTCTGTGAATTGAGGATTCATCATTAGATCGAAGCACAAAGCTCAGCCATAAATGAGCACTGGGAAAGCCGCGTCCTGCTCTGCTCAACAAAAAACAAATCGACCTGTTTTCCAAGATTTGTAGGGGAACTTCTCCTAACATCCTCCATCATGGGAATTGAGTCTCTGGATCTCAGCTTCCGAGTTGGATTTTGGAGTCTGTTTTTAGTGATAGGGATATTCATTCAAAAAAACAACAAAAACAAACAAACCAAACCTGTTCTCTAGATTTTCCTGAGCTCTCATGCTCCTATTCTGCATCATTTCTTCATCGCGAATGCGCCGTAACTTTGCCCTTACACTAAGGCCGTTCA